CTGACTGTATATAGTATCTGGTTACAGTGATGGAGAGTTTTAACTCGTATCCATATGTCCACTTCCTTTCTACATTTATTATTGGCTCAACATCCGAGTTTCAATAAGTTTTGGAAGCTATTTGTCCTACAGTAGTCCAAATGTTACAGTCTCCTTTGTTAGATCTAAAACTAATACAAGAAACACTAATATCCTAAAGCTAGCACTATTGGATGCGTGATTACATGAGCAGCGAGCAGTGTGAAAGCAAGTGTAGATTGGAGAAATGCAGGCGAGAAGAAAGGTACATGTATGTGAGTTCTTGCATGTGAGTGTGGGTATGTGAGTGTGGGTATGTGAGTGTGGGTATGTGAGTGTGGGTATGTGAGTGTGGGTATGTGAGTGTGGGTATGTGAGTGTGGGTATGTGAGTGTGGGTATGTGAGTGTTGGTATGTGAGTGTGGGTATGTGAGTGTGGGTATGTGAGTGTGGGTATGTGAGTGTGGGTATGTGAGTGTGGGTATGTGAGTGTGGGTATGTGAGTGTGGGTATGTGAGTGTGGGTATGTGAGTGTGGGTATGTGAGCGTGGGTATGTGAGTGTGGGTATGTGAGTGTGGGTATGTGAGTGTGGGTATGTGAGTGTGGGTATGTGAGTGTGGGTGTGTGAGTGTGGGTGTGTGAGTGTGGGTATGTGAGTGTGGGTATGTGAGTGTGGGTATGTTATGTGAAGAGTGTGAACTAATATTATTTAGTATTTTTTCTTGTTTTGTTAGGGGAATGCTGTAACGAATTCTTTCTGTTTGTATAAATCTGGATGACGAGTACGAATAAACATGGCGTCTAATACGGAGAGTTGACGAAAACTACTAGCTCAGCACACCACACTGAAGCAGAAAATCATCCTACAATTGCAAACACTGGGGGTTGGACACAAAATGCTTGAGTACAGCAAATCTACGAGTACTTACAAACATTGCACACTGCCGAGGGTTGCCGCTCATGTAATCACGCCTCCAATAGTGCTATCTTTAGAACATCAGTGTTTCTTGTATGAGCTTTAGATTCTTAAAATCTACACCTCATGATACCTCATGGTACCATAAATAAAATAGTCCAACATTTCAATCGATCGTAACTCAGTCAGTCCTGTTATTTATTTATTTATTACAGCATCTCATAGCACAATGAGAACACCGGCCAATACAAAGAGAGAGGGAGTTAGCCAACCACGGAAAGGAAGTGAGAAGGGGAGGAGAAGAAAAAGGAACCGGCATGGATAAGCAGTGATTGCAACAAAATGAGAAACACAAAATCAAAGTCAAGGCGCCACGACGCTCTTAAAAAGGCGAAGGAAAGAAAGATCCTTAGCTTCTTGGGGAAGTGCCAGCCACGCAGAGTACGCGGTGAAAAAGGGAGAGTGAAGTAGAAAGGAGGACTTAGGTTTCGGAAGGGAAAGGGAGTTTCGCGTGCTACGGGAAGAGAACCAGTTGAAACAATGGAGGTGAGGTGGACACAGAATGAGTTTGAGAGAATAGATAAGGGTGACAAGATGTGAATTACGTCTCTTAGACAAAGGGGTAGTGACAGCAAGGGCATAAAGATCGGAAGATGGAAGCATGCGGGGTTTTGGAGGAGGATTTTGAGAACTTTTTTGTGGTGATTTTCGAGCTTGGCAGCACGGGTTGTGGAAATTCCAGCCCAAGCAGTATCTGCATAATCAAAAATGGGGCGTAGATTAGCCGAGTAAAAAGAGGAGTTGGGATGGGTAACAGTGAGAAGAGAGGATTCCTAAAGCTTAACTTGATCGTTTATATATGTAATTAATGTGGGGTTTCCATAAAAGATTAGAGTCAATGAAAATGCCAGGATGCTTATGGCTGGAGACTATGTCTATAGGCTGGGGGAAAGTGGGATGGAGGAGGGGTGGAACATCGGGCTGAGAATGAAAGAGCATGATTTTAGTTTAAGACAGATTGGGCGATAACCGCCAAGATGAGATCCAGGAAATTACTCTTTGAATCCCGTTAGCTAGGTTACTCATCAGGCCAGTGATGTTAGGAGATGCCCGTAGGAGCGTTGTGTCGTCTGCGAACAGTGATGTGCCCGGGGCAGCTGCGGGCAGATCATTGACGTATAAAATGAAAAGAAGGGGGCCGAGGATGGAACCCTGGGGAACTCCGGATAGTACTGTTGTGTCGGCCGAGGACGTCCCATGTACCGTGACGCACTGCGTTCGCCCAGTTAGGTAAGATGTCAGCCATAGCAGGGGATTGCCGTCTACAGTAAATGATCCACGAAGCTTGGCCAAAAGCCCCCGATGCCAGACGGTATCGAAGGCCTGTGCAAGGTCGAAAAACAGATCCCGACTAGATCTCCAGCATCCCGATGTCGACACACTAATTGCACCAGGCGCGTCAGCTGAAGGGTGGTAGAATCACCTCTGCGAAATCCGGACTGAGCTGAACTTAAACGTGACGAGACATGACAGTACAATTGGTCGTAGAAAACGCGCTCACAGAGTTTGGAAACACAGGACAGTAGAGATATCGGACGGTAGTTTGATACTTCGTGGCGAGACCCTTTCTTGTAGATCGGAATAACATTAGCTGTTTTCCATGCAGAGGGAAAACGACCAGTGCGGGAATGATAGGTTGAAAATCAGACATAAGAGGTATGCTATTGAGGGTGCAAGGGACTTTAATGCCAGATTAGTGATGCCATCTGGGCCCGGCGCCTTGTGAGACGGGAGCTGTCAAATGTAACGTCCGATGGCAGCAGTCGTAGTAAAGACAGATGTGAGGCGGTCAACCTCACCCGACTCCTCGGCAATGGGGGGAATGGGTAGAGAAGGGTCATCAGGCACGGCCACTGAGGCGAACTGAGAGTTCAATGCAGTGGCTTTAGCTGAAAAGGTAGTAGCCTGCTGCGTAAAACTAATGGTGAGTGTCGGGATGTCACGATATACTTCATGATTTTTTATATATGTAGAAGAGAAAAGGACATATGGATACGAGTTAAGAGTAACTATCCATCACTGTAACATGATACTATATACAGTCAGAAAGTGCAATAACTAGGCACAAAACTGACAGTGTACTGAAACATCCGAGTTTCAAATTGCACACCTGATGAGCCGTCACGAACCATACGGCGAAACGTACGTCGTGTGAAACAACTTGTTTTGTAGTCAACTAGTCCATCACAATGTCATGCATGAGGAGTACTGTAGGAGTTTGGCTTTCGGCTTGTACAATTCGTTTTCGCAAAGCTTCCCTTTCTTTACTTATCTTTGATATTTATGACCCACCCAAGCTGGGTGGTGTGCTGCTTTGCTGCTTCGAATTGTAGTTAGACCGCTTTGTCAAATATCGTACTGGTCTCGTCATCGTCCAGTAACAATCGACATTCTTTGTGTCCGTTGGGACTGTAGCTTTTGCTCGTTTTCGTTGCGCTTGCCTTCCCCTCTTTGGTCTTTCCATAACCTTGAACCTTCCAAGTTGGAAGGCTGTCGGTTAGCGCTACGGAGATGTGTTGAAGCTAGGTGTCAGGACGTCGAATGTTTCAGTACACTGTCAGTTTTGTGCCTAGTTATTGCACTTTCTGACTGTATATAGTATCATGTTACAGTGATGGATAGTTACTCTTAACTCGTATCCATATGTCCTTTTCTCTTCTACATTTATTTATGGCTCAACATCCGAGTTTCAGATTTTTATATTTTTATATTTCCAAGAACGAAAATTCGTGAATGTGTAGTATCCCTGCCCGACCAATACGGAAGCAGTACGGAACTAATACGGAGCTTTGCCTGATGTACATTAGTGTATCTCCGTATATAAGCGTACGGCGTCTGCTGCATA